TCCGTAGTAGGATGGACATGGTCGGCCATGACAGCTGTGATGGAAAGGAAGACCGGCGCCACTGGACTGAGTACCCCTGCTATATTAGAGGGTGTCCTGCTAACAAAGACTTATATAAGGATTCAGCAGTCCAGAGGAGGAAGTGCTGGTGGATGGATCATCGGAGGTTGGGCCTAGGAATCTCTGGTCATGTCGGGTTTGTGGATGAGGAGTTGGTTGTGGTAGGTAACCCCTTTGATAGCACATTGATGGTGGAAAGGCATGGGGGGACGGTGTTAATAGGGAACCTTACGACCTGCACCCTGTGTGAGAAGAGACATGACGGTAGTGGCTGTGACTTGTCGCGTGAGGTGACATTGCCAAAGAAGTGGTTCTTTTTACCTGACCAGTGGCAGTGTGAGTGTCCCTGTTACAGTACCAACATTTTCGCTGCAGCCACCAAGAAATGAGCCACCTTCGTGGAATACTTTGAGAAACGTCCCCTGTGTTTACGGATATATCACGATTAGATTTGGCATTCTCAGTATTTGCAGTGGGATGAGCTGAACCTGGTGACGTGAACATTGGTGGTGTTGAGATGGGCTAAAGTAAATGGTTTGCTGAAGGAACCCTGCTGCCCCTTTTGTGGTTTGGTGTTGGCAGAAGGTTATTTGGATCTTAGGTTGCATTATAAGAAGACAGAGGGATGTTGGGATAGATTGTATGTTTCCTTTATTGAGTATGTGGGCCAAATTGTGTTAGGGGCAGATAGGAGTGAGGGTATGAGATGGTGGCTGGGTAGCAAAGTGGGAAGATGAGTTAATCCCAGGCAGCGCTAGTTGCTGCGAGCACTGGTGAGTCTATTGAGGGAGTGATTTTTGAGATTTATGTTTGGGGGGAGTAGTTGCAAGGTGGAGTGGTCCGCAGTAGTGTATTTTAGATAGTTTGTTTTCATGGAGTGTAGGGGAGACTAGTCGTATGCCAGTGTTGATGGTACTAGTATAAATAAAATTAGATTGAATTGTAAGTACTTTTCCTCGTCCTTGTCGTCACTTCGCCCTGAGTGTTTCTTTCACACCCATGATGGGCCCTGATGCCTTGAATTGTAGCGGAAATATCTGAGTTTGCTCAGTAGTTCCTGGAGTTCTTGGTATTGAGGTCTGTTGGTGTTGCGTGGCGGATTACCTGTTTACTTCTTGTTTCATTGCCTGATGGTTTCTCACGATGCTGTCACTTCAAGCACTTCATCACAGTCACTTACGAGGCTCTTTCGGTAAAACATCTTTGGCTTCCTGTCTATAGCCTACTTGTAGATTTCACGTTCGATTGGGAAGGATAGAACGTTGTGTTTGAGGTGATTACCTGTGTTGTTCTCTTTACCAGCTCATGTTTCTTGTTGGGTTTTAACGGAGTCCTTTGTTCTCACAATACAAAACGCACTTGGGTTAGACTGATGGCCTTCCCAAGTATCAACTCGTCATACCGGTTATATTATTCCTCACATGGCAGGGCAGTACCCACTCGGCCCCTTCTCGTTACGTTTTTGTTTCTACAGTCGGAATCCTATGATGTTGTTTCTCGCTATTCCTTTGCAGTTTTGTCCTTGCGGCATTTACAATGGTTCAGTCAGGTGTCTCCTCCTCACCTCGGTGGGGATGGCTTTGACCGTGAAAAATCTTACCTCCGGATGTGGGGGTTTTTCATTACTGCCTGGGGTGGTGTTGGATGATTGGCTGCCAGACACTCGTGTTGTGTGTGTGTTTGGGTGGTTTGGTTGCAGATTGTAGTTGGTGGCTTGACCCATTGCAAGTGGGGCCTACCTTCCGTTTGTCTGCTCCTGTTCGCACACCCTTCCCCTTCTGTCATGTCAGTTGTAGGTGCCTCTTGCCCGTTGTTCGGTCTATGCCTGTTGTCAGACCTGTAGGGCTGGCTTCAGCTGGCTCTGCCTACTCTTTCCCAGCATGGTTGTACTTCAGTTCGACTGGATTGGATGGTCTAGTGGTGCTAGTACCTTCGAGTATTGGTGCTGCCTCCTTTGTAGCTACCGGCTGTGACTGGTGGGCCCCCCTCGGCGTCAGGGTGCTGGGGGTCGGAGCTCTGTTGGTGTGGCCAAGACCAGTGGCTACCTGATAGGGCTAAGTATAGGCTGTCCTGTGGCTATCAGATGGTTGATCTGTCTGAGGAGCTGGGAGGCTGGATGGGCTTTGTAGTATCTAGCTTGTAGGTCATAGGAGGAGCTGATTGGGGGGGGAGAGGTACTTGCAAGCACTGGTCAGGCCTGTGTCAGGTTGAGTGAGGTCTAATTAAGTGTTTCGGGTCCGGTTTGGGCCGTTGAGTGAAGCTGCTGAGTGCTGCAAAACTCCTCGACGGACCAACAGGTTGATGGCCACCTGTGCAGATAGCCGGGTGCGATCACCTGGTTGGACTTGTTTGGGTCTTGCATGCTGGGTTTTGTGGGGTTTGTTTGGTTTCTTTGGTTTGGCTACGGGTTTGGCAGGAGGAGGCATGGCATTACAGGTGGGAGATAGGCCCTCCTGACATTTTTTGGTCTGTTACTACCTCTATGTATTTCTTATGTTTGTGTTGTTTTGGTTGAGGGACAGGCAGCGGGTACAGATCCTCCTTACCGGTATGCTCTTTGGAAGCAACCGGCAAAGTGGCTTCATAGGGTCGACGGCCTGATGTGCGGGTGCAAGAGGTTGATGTGTTGGTTGGCTCCTTCCTGCTATTGCATCGCCTGTCGGTTTAGTTTGTCTGTTTGTTTGTTGGCTTTCTACTGTGGTGGAGGTTTCAAAGGGACAGTCTTCAGACCGAGTGGTAGTGATTTTATGTTTGTTGAACGAGGAACCTGATAGCATTGGTCTTTTGCTCAGTTTCCGCTACGCTTAGTACTGGTTGGCTTCATACCAGAGGAGCTACGGACTTGGACCGGGGTGGGCGCTGGGTTGTTTGATGGTCTTGTAATTGGTTCTCATGCACGCATGACTCAGGGATAGCAGGTGCAGGGCTGTAGACTTAGTTAGCTTAGAATTAGTAGTATACCGGTTAGTGGTATCTCTGTACCGGCTGGGGCTCGTCATATGCCAGTGTTGGCGGTACCAGTTTAAATAAAATTAGATTAAATTCTAAGTACCTTTCCTACTTATTATAATAATGAATATAAAACACCTTTATGTTCTTTATCATTATCGTAATCTTTCTTATTGTTATGCGAAGGAAGAACTCTTCACGAAGGAGAGTTAGAGAAAACTTACCATTCGCATTCTATATAGAATACAGAGGTCTTGTACTATCAGAAATGTAGGCAGGGGCCTAGTGCTATCATAAGATTAAGCAAACAAGAAGGAGAGGAAGAGAAGTATCGTTTCCTGTCGCCAAGAACTAACTATCCGAAGAGGGATCATTATAGTGTATTAGTGGACTACATCTATCTCTTATATAAATTATATATCTTTCTAACTGTAACTCACAATGTTATTTATTTTCTTGACATACGAACACTAGGAGACTCTGAACACCATCACGTTCTTTTTAGTAATTACTATTTTGCCAATTACAGAACTGTATTGTTTTCAATAGTAATTATCTGATCTTTAGAGTTTTCAGACTTATGGCCTAGTTCTCAAGTCATGTCATGTTCACCCCAATTGTCCCTCTTATTGATAAAATAATCGGTTTCATCTAAGAGTTGCATCTCCAGGAGTAGTTGTATATATAACCTTCTTTGGCCACTTACTTTAAACTATTATAACTCCTGGTCTAACCAACAGCTATTTTCTGGATAACATCCTACTAATTTGCAGGAAACTATTCTACCAGATTGGCAGATAATCCCTCAATTGGCAACTCTTGGTTGTCATAGGTAACCAGGCTTTGCTTATTGTTTGGTATTGGTGATAATTTCTACATCCATGAAGTATTCGTTAACCTAGTAGTAACACTTCCAGAAGTGTATTAGCTTTATCAGTAGTTCTTTATAGGAGTTTTAAACTCTTCTGATTATTGTTGGATAGATGAGAATGTGTTGGCCCTTTGTAGAGATCCTCTACCATTCAATATCCTATCTTTGTGTGAAATCATCTTGTTACTTAAGGCTTATGCTCCAGATGTCCCATCTTTGAAGCCCAGTAATTCTCTGGGTATTTTACAGATTTACTCTATTCCACTCCTCAGACCTAGCTGAAGGTCACCTCTCATATACTCTGTGAATAGGATCTGGTCAGATAGACAATAGTGATATATATGGTGTTATTCTGACACCTTCAATTCTATGGCATTATAGTTACAGGATACAACTAAATATGTATAATAATGTGTGGGCCCAGCAAGTGGACCGGAGGGTGGTGTTAGAGACGAGAGATTCTGATTCTGAGCAAGGTTACTCTACTTAGGGTGGTTCTTAGGTATCAGATTCCAGTACTCCTAACATCCTTAAACTATTCAATTTTTATCAAATTAGTACTGCAATTAAATTTATATTTTGTCTTGTATATTAAATTCTTTTTTTTTTACAGAATAATATATATTACTATTATACATAATAACACTTTATAATCCTTTGCCTGTAGACTGGACAGTTGTATTGCACAGCTACTGTTGCATTTCTCCATGCCACATGGTTGACGGTCTTCTCTTGTCGCACTGAACCATAATTCATTTATAATATATTATTATTTAAATCCTTTACCATAATCCACTAAAGAAATCAAGGCTCGACACCAAAAGAGGCACGGCCACATGTAATAAATTATTTCAGCATAGTGCATGTTTTGAATGGCATGAACCATATCCATACTTCTTCATCTGCTCTTCAAGAAACATGTTTTTGTTTTTTTTTATTATACATATTTTAAGTATAGAGCCTATAGAATTTGAAAATTGTGTAATTTCTGGTGCACGTTTTGGATGGCACGAACTATATTTCATGCCAGTATCAGATTGAGGATTGAGTTGTATACTTGAATCGTCAAAACGCCTAAGAAACTACTATGGTAATACTCCTTCTATCACAGCTCCCTTAGTTATGAAACAAATATGACAGTTTGTACTACGGTACGGAGGTATTACATAATCCACGTAGTATATCTCGAACAAAAGCGTGAAGAAAAAAAACAATGATATGTATTCCGGATCCTACCCAATTCCAATTCCCCCGAAAAGAGAAAAGCAAAAAATCCCCTGGAATGTCTCAAACCCCATTCGTCGCCCCAGCTGGCGTGCACATACTCACAGTCACCCCGGTAGTACCATTACTTCCGGTCACGGAATGCTGTTGCTGAATTTGTAACTGCAAAACCTTATCCTTCCCCACAATCCCCTTGAAAAAGTCCCGAACGTCGTTGGTGAGTTCCTGCGGCCTGTAACCAACCTTCTGGGTTAATGATTCTCCCAAGCCAGAGGTTCAGTACTAGAAAGTGTAAAGTGTAAAGCGTACTTCTCCCAAGCAGCAAAGTGTCCCCCCGAATTGTGTTTCCTGTAAAACTTGAGCGGGTGCAGCATGCTCGCCCAATCGCTCGGCGGCATCACAATCTCCTTTACAAAGCTACTGAAGCCCATTGGGACATTGCTCCATTTTGATGTCCCTTCTTCAATCTCACGTGAGGCTTCTTTGTATAGTCTAGTGCCTTGGTGCGGGCCGGGGGTCCAGTATAGCATGAACCAAGTTAGGACTTCGTCATTCGTCCAGGGATACTGAGTGGATGGTTAGGCGGTGAGTTAGTACGCGAGCGATATGTGGCGGAGTGGTAGGTAGGGGGGGAGGGCCGGGAGGGGGGGGTGAACGTTGTCAGTCCAAGAATGCATCTTCTCTCTCATCCATGCTAACAATCCAACCGGGGAATCTGTCAATCCGTAGGCTAATGTCATTGGCTTCGTCCCGTGAATGGCCTGATACCCTATCTCTTCAGTGTAGAACTTCTTTGTCCTCTTCCAGCCAGCAACTTCCTCGGGAGTGTACGCCCCTGGGAACCTTCCGTTGGAGGCCATCGCCAGAGAAAGCTTTAGGCACTTTACCGGGTGGGAGAACAATGTCGGCGGCTTCACATGGAGAAAGTTGACATGGATTGCCCGGACATTTTGGGGGTATTGGAGGGCGAGGAAACGGCAGATTAGGCAGCCCCAGTCTCCACCTTGAGCGACTGTTTGAACCCCACGAAGGGTAACTATGAGTTTTTGGCTTTGTCTCACGATGTATATGCTAGATCAATGGAGAGGGATTACCGTAGTGTTCATATCCGAGCTTCTTCATGAGTTTGTCCATGGCTTCGGCCATCTTTTTCGCCCCGAAGCCGGGTTTTTTGGGACCGTCGGAGAAGGCGTAACCGGGCAGGCTATAGATATATTCATTATCGTCTGGTACCTCTCCTCTAGTATGCTCTAAAACTATAGGAATTGGATGCACATACGAAGGAACAACGACATTAAACGCCGGCATACCCATATCCGGTGGATTGGCCAATGGTTCAATCATTTTCGAAAACTCCCAGAAGCTGCCCGGCCACCCATGCACCATGATTACCGGAATGGCATCCGGCCTCAAACTCCTCCGCCATAGGAAATGAATGCGGAGCGTCCCGAACCCGTCGACTTCAATAGGAACTCTAAAGTTCGGTAACCGGTTCAGTTGGGCTTCCTGCTTACGCCAGTCGAAGCGTTCCTGCCCTGAACCGAGTTAGCAAGTTGTCCCCACACTAGCACCGTCACATCTTCATGGTACCAAAATTGATGGATCACGAACGCAGGGAAAGGGGGATAAGAGGAAGGTATTGTGGGATAAAGGTGCGATTACAATGGTCAATCAGCTCTTCGATAACCCGCTTGGGCGTCCCATCGGCCCATTCTTCACCCTCAGGTTGTCCAAAGTCATTCGGTAGACGGGCTGTGTCGAACTTTTGGGTAGTCAAGTCGAGATATTTGGACGCGACCTGTTGTTTTTGTTTTGAAAGAGTTGGGGTTAGCGTTGGCGTCCTCTGTGAATGGGAGCTAAACGCGTGATGAGGGGAAGGGTGGAAAGCTATTCCTACGTGGATCTTATAAGATTGAGGAGAGTCGAAGGACTCGCCCCGCTCTTGAGACGGCGTATCCGACATGTTTGGGACGATCTTCTGGTGGATTAACAAGGTCGTGGCTGATGGGGCCGTTTGCGGGGCCGTGATCGTGGCGCCCAAAGAGCGCCTAACACTACTCGTACAGAGGGGAAAAAAAGATCACAAGGTTGAATTTCCCGGGTATTTGCTTCACTACGTAAGATAACCCCCTAAGCTTTCATCGGATTATGAATAATTTCATTGGTTGTGATCAACAAGCTCCCTGCGCTCTTAATGATGCTCAGTGAGCTAGTGATCAGCCTCGGAAGAATCTAAATACCGTACGGTATCATGGCTCCCAGTTGTTCCCGCAGTGGAGGCTTCACCCAGTATCACTCGTCTATTCATTTGTCATTTTACCGCTTGCATTCTCGTATCCTCGTATCCTGCACTTTTACCCTTTCTCCGACCTAAAAGAATCACTTCATTCACTAACCCGACTGCAATCCCAACACCGAAAAGCAAAGGTTTATGATCCAGTATAGACATCTACTAATTACACAACCGCATGCCTTTCTCTGTTCCCACCAGTCCCGCTGTCGCTAGAATTGCGCTGACGCTGCCCCCTCCCTAAGCTCACACTCCCCAGCCTCTCAATTAGATTGGTTCCGATCGCATCCACACCGCCTCGAGGTGCCAGTAAACTCGGACCTTCCGGGGCAGTCTCTTGGACTCTGAATAGCTTCACCGCGGTCCCATTCCATACACCAACAGTGCCCTTTGAAACATGCCTCTCCGCAATAAAAACGAACCCCCAGAGTAGCGACTCGTACCAACCCAGCGCCAAAGGACTCCATTCGAACATGTGAGTTTTAATCAACGAAGGCTCAATTCCGTGAATCTCTGTAGTCTTTATACATTCAAGCATTGATATGGCATTGGGTTCCCCATTGTTACGCGCGAGAATCTCGCGCAGTGGAGGCTGTAGCTGCTGAATGAGCACAAGGATTGTATGAAGTGGTAGATGAGGAAGCCACGATTCGATCTGCCAAAAGTCAGGGTGCTATTCGTCACTCATAAGATCTGAAACAGCACATACCCATGTTTGTGAAGGCGTGAACCCATTCAATGATGTTGCGGTTGCAGAAGCACTGGCATGGCTTGCTAGGCTCGTGGTGCTGGCCTGTCTGTGGAAAGAGCCTTCTGGAAGTTTTCCCCTGGCTTTCTCCGACATTGCTCGTAGCTGTATAGGAACAGCATCTTCGGCGGATGACGATATAGAGGGTGTGCGGGATGGAATGGTAGGTAATCGGGTAGGCATTGGGGTTTCGATAGAGGAAGTGGGAGGTTGGCTCTTAGATCTGTCTTCCTCGTCCGAGTCCTCGCCATCGCCAATTTCAAACTGACTAGGTGGGATTGGTGACTCCGATCCGGCCATTGACCCTCGCTCTTCAACAGGTGAGGCAAAATCGTCACGACTTATCGAGCCTTTAGCCGAAGCATCCTGAGATTCTCCCCGATCCTTTTTTTGCTTATCCTGGCGGTCGATTTCCTCTTGGCCACTTTCGAGAGTAAAGTTTCTCAATGCCTCAAATCTTTTGTGCGCCCTTAAGATGGAATAAACAAAGTTTGCATTCTCTATATCCAATAATTAGGCCTGGCAAGCGATAATCTTGAGTGAATTTCACCTGAATAGTTATGCTCAATGATAGAATTCATCGACTCCAGAAGAGAGTGTAACAATGCGTGGTTAGTCTCGTTCGCTAGCAAGAAGGCTGGCGCTGACATTGAAGCAAATAGTTGCACAAGCTTTGCGCTAGCTGCCGCCGAGAGAGGCTTGACATGGGGAGCAACATTCGCAATAATTGCTAGTAATGCTGGGTATACAGCACCCAACCTACCCTTGCTACCCGCGATCAAACTATATATAGACTGTCTGATTGTTAGAAAAATACTGTAGGCTTTAGAAGAGATCACTTACAATTATCAGATAATCTGCATAAGTTCCACTGAAGGAGGGGATCCTAATGCTGGATGGTAATGTGTTTTGTCCCTCGAAATGCTTGTTGAGACTCATCCCAAATTTCGGCTCCGTAGACAAAGTTTGCAAAACAAAAACACACATTCTGACGACCCCGGACTTGGAAGGGTCCAATCTATGCTCCAGAGCATAGTAGATAATCAAAATCACAAAGTCATGGACCCGATCCGTTTCGATAATAAAGCTCCGGAACCGCTAGACCGGTGTCAGGTAGGGAAATTAGGTGATCAGTGATAGGGAAAACATACCTTATTACATTGCAAACTCTCCCAAAAGAGCATCAACATTTCCGGAGCCCATTGGATAGTCTTCTGACTGCCGGGAAGATAGGATGCAGTAGCCTGGATCTTCTCCAGGTATTAGTGCTGGGGATTCGTCTCCAAAGAATATCTTACTCACCGGCTGATTAAGAACACGGGTCATTCCGTCAACCAGGAATTGAAAGTCTTGAGTTCTGTGAAGTCTCCCCAAATAATGGCGGTAGTTGTTCTTAAGCAGAGGCTCGCCCGGCCCGCTCTCCGGGACAGGGTACAATAGCAGAACAAGAAGCAATTGCAAACAGTAGGTCACAAGAACTTGCCGAGGGTCTGAAAATACGACATGATCATAAGGAACTCTCCAACTGGCGGGGTTATATCTCAAGGTCTGACACCAAGGAATAAGCTAGATAACTCTTCGGGTGGGGGATTCAAGACACTAACTGTATTCAATAACGAGCATAAAGTCGAGAGCACAGCTTTCTTGTCCGCACTGGTTGCTATATAGGTCAATGCTCTTATCCCCCTCACTGGCAATATATCTATCATCCCTTTGTCAGTATCACAAGATCCCGCGCATGATCAGATGTAAAACCGACTTGCAGGTATGAACATTGCTTTAGATGTGATTGCAAGCAGAAGTCTCAATGCTTCAATCTTGTTGGACTCCAGTTCTTTCGTGGTCCCAACTGGGGTATTGCATCCAACGCCGCTTTGCCAAATAGCATATGTAACCTTTCCCTTTGACGAGGGATTTTCCATCAGGGTAAATCCAGAATAGAAGAGCAGGCCAATCAGAGTATCTATCAATTCTTCCATCAATGGCGGGGCCGATTCGATATCTTCTGCCGCCGTCGGTGGCCGAGGGTCTTCATCAGGATGAGCTTCATCGAAGATGACCTCCGCTCTAGAAAGCGATGCTTTCCCGGATCTCTTCCGCCCTGCGCCCCAAAAGAACTTCTCCTCCCAAGCCACCAACCCATCCTTTTCGTGCAAAAATGGCAGTATCCTCGTCAATATTCGAATACAATTTAATGCATGCTTCTCCGGAGCCAGCTCAGGATCAGGAAACAACGGATGGTTCTTTAAGGCAAAGAGCCTCGAGGTAACTGCCAGGATGAGCGTCTCTAAATTTTCAAGGTGTTGATCGCGGGTACGACGGATGTCAGCGGCAGCGAAGAGTGTGAAAACATCTTCAGCGGATTCAGGAAGCTCCCAGAAGGAAAGCCAGTAGGGATCACGAGGCGATATTTTCTATGAGCAAAAGGAAGTGGTCAGTTCGTTTGATCCGGGCGAGACAAGGGCGAAGTAGCAGCAGTAAGCAATCAACTTACGTATTCTTCGGCAAGACGAAAGACGCCCTTCTTGAAGGAGAGCTTACTATCACCGGCACCCATGGATAGAGGGGTCGATAGGTATCTGGCCAGAGACTGTGTATGGGAAAAGGGGCGGGTAAAGTACAGCGCAGACTAGGTACTTGAATTTTGTTTTTGTTTTCGGATCGCCGTTTGGGTGATTCTTGTAATGGTGGGGGGGGGGAGCTTTGTTTGTGGTTGCTGTCCTATCGGCGCGATACCTGATAACTTATGCAATGTGTGTAATTAATTAGAGCTAAGCTAAGCTAGAGTTTTAGTGAACCGAGCTATGCAACCCAGGTACGATCGTACATGAAATAAGGGGGGGAAATGAGGATCAAAGGGAACCGTTTCTATTTACCCTACTATATCATAGCTTATTACCATTTCTGTGCATATCTTATCGAATCTGAATGGTCAAGATGAACTATGATACCAGCAATGCTATCATACAAGTAACCACGCAAGTGCTATGGATTGTAATGGGACAGCCACTTAGACTACCCTGGATCTCGAGTGCTGTAAGGTGCTCAAGTATGATACAACAGACAAGTACGGTATTGCATAGGAGACCTATTTCCATTGCTTGGGGAAATATGAGGAGCGCTGATTGGTGAACGTGCACCTCTCTATAGGAACTAGGCTACAGTTCCGCGTGCTGGTTGATTGCTCTACTGGAGCAGTCCGAGGTAATGCTTTTGCATGGTGCAGCGACCTGGCGACGGATTCGGCGAATGTCCTCGAGAATAAGCTCGAGTACGGGGTCTAAGGCCACCAAGGGCTTTCGGCCACCTTGGTACTACCGCCCAACACAGAATTGTCTTTTATTTACAACTCCCATTCAAAAACATACATGACTCCATTTGCGTCCTCTCCAATAGCTTGGAAGTTTTCAATATTCTGCTTCCATCAATGGCACTTTTGTCATCGCTTGTACTTTCCTCTCCATGATTCTAGCCTTCTCTGCCTGTGCCTCCACTCTTCCCTTTTCCTCCATCTCAAGTAATTGTTTAATACTATTGTAACAATCCTATAGCTTTGTATTATTTCTCTCAACAGGTAATGGTCTTATTCTTCTCTTTCCACTTATGATATCTGTTAGACCAAGGTCTATGTTACCTGTTATGGTAATGCCAATTCGAATCTATTTTTCTTCTCTTAGTCTCACAGTGTCAAGATTTCCTCACTGTGTACATCAGCAATAAAAAAAAACCCTGTGTCAGATGCGTCAGCTGTAAGTCTAGATGCAAATGTTCAGTTGCCCGCATTTTATGCGTCCTGGGTGTCCTGAGTATCTGGTTACGTTCTGGGTATCCTGAGTGTACAGTTGTATCAAACCTGTCTGGAGTTCGTCCTAAGCAAGAATGTGTTAATTTTCACCTCCCAATTTGCCCAGTCAACCTTGATCCTTATTGATATCCTGACTTGGACACAAGATGGTAAAGAGTCTTAATCATAATACTAAGCCACATATCAGCCATCGGTATATCCACTAGACACTAAGACTAAATCTAAAAATATCTGCAAAAATAGAAGATATGTAGTACCAAATTCTATTTTAGTCTCTTGAACAATGTGGGAGCCAAAATGGCCTACTGGTAGAATGTAAAAGTGAGTAATAGTTGTGACTGTTGGTACAGGTAGTGACTGGGGTGTTTTGTTAAGTTTTTCTAATACTATGGCATGTTTAACATCTGGACAATCACATACAATAGGTCTGTAAACTACAATTGCTCATCAGTCTATATACTATCAAAGCTAATAATGTGGGACAACATTCTGTGCGATTTCAACTTCCTATTACATCAAAGAATATCTGTCTACTGTGAGTTGCCAAGAAGTTACAGCGTATTTTGTGTCCAGGTAAAGTCCTGTCTTTGAAACCTAGTTCTGTCCTGAATACCTGGATGTACAAGGTGGCAGTTTACATCATAGACCTATTCGACCCCAGCTTTCCAATAGTATAAGGACTGTCTTCTCAGCACTATTATCTGTAGAGCTATAGCCAGTTTTGTACCCTGATAAAGTGCTAACTTTTATAATAGATTCTGTCCTAAATACCCTGATGCACAGGTTGACACTTTGTGTCCTATACCTACTCCATGCCAAACTTCCAACAGTGTAAAGAATGTCTTCCTAGCACCATTATCTGTAGAGTTACAGCTAGTTTTGTACCCTAGCAAAGTGGTAATTTCCATCTCACATGTCACAGATGTGGCGGGATTTCGCACATGACTTGACTATGAGTTATGGGTCTCATGCATACAACTCATTTGAGTTATATGAATTGGTTATGTTAGGAATACAGGAATCCGATGCCTAGGAACCACCCGAAGTAGGGTAACCCAACTTGGAATTGGAATCTCTGGTTACCAACAACTCCTACTGGTAGCCTTACAGGACCCACACGTCATCATACATACTTATCTCAACATCGTCCTGTGACTATAAGGCCCCAGAGGTTAAGGTATACGAATAGTATCTTATACATCGCTGTCTTCTATCTAACTGAATCTCATTCACAGTATATGTGAAAGGGGACCTTTGGCCAAGTCTGAGAAGTAGAAGAGAGTCTATCTGTCAACTACTTAGAATGTTACCAGGCTTCAAAGTTGTGACAACTTTGGTAAGGACACTAACTAACAGGATGGTTGCATATAAAGAGATGGAATGGAATGTTAATAGATCCTTATAAGAGACTAATATATTCACACCTATCTTATAATAACTAGAAAAGTCTCGACCTCCAAGAAACACAACTACAGAAGTCAATAGACTTCATAGAGTGTTATAACTGCATCTAACAATGTGTTGTTATTGAGAGAATAATTCTCAACACTAGAACAATGACTAGAACCCTGAGACATAGAGTAACCAAGGATTACTAACTGAGAGATTATCTGCTAATCTGGTAGAATAACTTCTGGAAAATTAGTTGGAAGTCTTCCAGACGATATCTATCAGTTCGATCTGGAGTTATAGAGTTTAAATATCAAGCGACTTAGGAAGGTTGAAATTGCAACTACCTCTACAAATACAACCTGCAGTTGAAACTGATCATTTCATCGATTAGGAAGACAATTGGGGCCAACTTAGTTCAACTTAAGAACAAGGTCATAAGTCTAATAACTCTGAAGATCGGATAATTACTATTGGGAATAGTATAGTTCCTAGTTAGTAATACTGTAATTACCGAAGAGAGTGTGGTAGTTTTCAGGATTTCCAGGTGTTCGCACTTTTGAAGAATACCCAATATTGCAAGTTATAATCAGAGAAGTACATAGTTTGTATAATAGATAGATATAGTCCACCAATACTCAGATGTGTAATATAAATATTGAAGTGCCTTTTAATCTTTTAGATATCATCAAGTAATAGAGAAGAGAACTCAACATATAATATTGTTCTTACAATTCTATTTTACCTATTTCACTTTACTCCTAGTAGTCATAAAAGAAATGAGTATATTTTGAGTCTTCCAAGACAATCTCCATCTAAAGAAATAAATCTTGATTGGTCTTGACAACTCTGAGCTTTTACCAGTTGTGTCCGCCTAACAGCTTGTGTTATCATTTGTTATGTTTCACACATGACTCAATTATAAGTCATATGAGTTACGGTTAGCGAGTAGAGTACTACATAAGGAGGCAGGTACAGCTGAGGAAAATAGGTGCTTTATGCCTTGTTCTAAGTAATTTCCTTATTTGTTATATTATATAAGTAAAACATCTTCATCCTGTTTATCCTTTACATTTCTCACAAGCCTAAGCATAGTATCCTTATACATTTACGACAATAGGCATAATCTAAGTAAGCATTAGTAATTTATGCCAAATGTAGTAATAACTATTGGATGAAAGAAGATATATACAAGAAAATTTATTGTTGCACATCGCTATCTATTAACAAAGACTTGAATTATTATATTATAAAGTGTTACCAAATTGACATGAAATAATAAACATACAAAGCGAACATAAACCCTTATATTAAGGGAAGAGACTATAAAGGAAATCTAGATTTTACAGAAAATGAAACAAGACTTGGAGACTTCAAACATTTTAGCAACACTCTTAAAGAGGTGTCTAATGCAGGAACAAGAGTAGCAAGTCCTGTTACAAATAAACCAGGCACACGTTAACGCCGGTATCTCGTTCCATAATTGATGGCCGTTGCCG